CTGCTCATTGCGAAGTGATGCAACAAGGTTAAAAAGAAGCTAAGTGACACGCTTTGCATGAACTTAAAGGTAGAAAACATACTGCGAGAAGTTTAAAAGCTTAAACATTGACCGAGTATTGCTGAACTGACGGAAATGGTTCAGATTCCGTAGTATAATGATTTGCAAAGAATGTACTCAACAGTTCAGCCTTATCAATGACTTCGAGAGCAAAGTTTTTGTATTCGTTTAGAAATGGAGGACTTTGATGATTTTTTGAGAGGAGGACCGACGACGGAACAGTTGAGTAACATATTTTGCAGGGTTTAGTTCACCGTGAGCGCATGATTCCCCCAATCTGTTACGTTCAAGACGAATCTTGAAGGCTCATTTGAAAATGTCTGCGATCCTTGGATGCATTGAAAATGGACTAGTAGATAGATCTTTCAATTGCCTCCTCAGTTTCTCTAATCTATTCAAAAGTAAGCAAGGAACGATGGATTAGGAAGCGTAGGATTTTGCCCTTTCATTTGGCAATAATTCGAGGATGTTACCAGAAACGGCCGACATGAAGTCATATAAAATTTCTGCGTTGTTCATGGAGGATATGCTTACAGTCTAATGCGTTAAAACGGCTGTTAATTATTTAAGTAATTCAATGTAATTATTTATTGGTTGATGGCTAAAAGTTAAGGACAGAAGAGACACATGGTAGAGTATCGAGCTGACGGTGAAAGAAAACTCATAATCCTGCTCTCCAGTGTTTTCCAGGAGAAAACACTGCAGCTTGTTGAATGATTGAAGTTCGGGACGGGTAAGGGTTGACACAGGTGCACAGTGTTGTCAGTCACCCTTCATTGCTAAGGATTCGTTATCCTTTACCAGATGAGAGTGTGTTGGCGAACAGTTGCTCGTTGTCGGCTGAAGAATTGGTCGATTACGGGCTGCAGGGTCAGCCTCATTGTCCTCAGCATAAAGTCTAGCATAGGATTCAGAGTCTGCGGACGCCATCAGAACGAAAGAGCGATTTCACCGAGTCAACACAGAAAGTTCATGAAAGCTGTCCTGAATGTAGAAAACTAGTAGAGACTTTGATGAATTTTGATAGTTTTGGAGAGCTTATTCCAGATTACTGTAGTATTTACTAAGAAACTGGTGATATCTAACTGTACTAGTCATAGGAACCAATAAAAAGACTAATCGATGACAGGTACGACAAGAGTGGTCGAGTCGTTTGTGCGTAAGGTCAAAGTTTAAACATCTAAAATAGTCCCTTCTGTAATCTGCGAAGTCAAAAGGGATCGAGGTTAGTAAGTTCACAACATTTTTGTCAGGACATGTTACGGTGTTCTGATGAGAAAACTCTTCCAGTAAAGATATGCTGGACGAATGCCATTCTCTTCCGTTGCCTAGCAGACAGAGGGCTAAATAGAAGCGAACAATATTTTAGGCTACATCTAACGCACATTTTATAGAGGCCGGTTCTGATTTTGATGATTTTAACATTTCTGAGAATAAACCCGGTAGTGCAGTGTGCTTTCGAGGCAATCAGGGTGCAATGCTCTCAAAGATTAGAACCAGTAGAATATGATATGCCCTTGGCCGCAGTACTTGGCGATAATCTATTGGACCAGGCCCGTGAGAGAATCCTGTTCCGTGATGTAAGGACGCAAAGGATTGCAAGGAGGTCCACTTTCACGCAGGGATTGCGACGCCAGGGTTAAAAACGACACTGTCCGTTTTGTTCCATCTGGGGACTTACAGTCCTGTTAAAGAACGCTCTAAACTACTAATACACACTAAAAGAGCTCGCAGTTTAGTCATATTTCCTTAGATCTTTAGAGTAAACAGGCTTCAGAACGCATAAAATGTTCAGAACCACAACCTAAAGCAAAATGATGACCCAAATGTGCGCCGTGCAGAAGGCCAAGTCGATTGCAGATAACGTATATTAACTCGGACAACCGATAAGTGAGGACACACACAGACACACGTTATTCTTTTGCACAAATATCGACCAATTGATATTTCCCCGCAAGGCAGTCTCCCACAGTTAACGGCCAATCAACGACCATCACGACATAGGCCAGCAAGTTCTGCAACGCGCTTCATGATCTGGCACGCGATGAACTGGAATCTTAGAGAACGGTTAGGGCGTAAATGAATAAAGAGTGTTTTTGATAAGAAAAAAACAGTGCGTTCAAGGGAGGATAATAATATGTTTGTCTTCTGAGCCAGCTCTCCACTTTTTCCATTAACCCATCGGGCTATAAAAATCATATTTGTCCTATATAACCTGTGTATCAATACTTGTATCTCTTTCTCACAGCGCTTTATACATTTCATTTACGAAAACAAACAATTCAGTGAAGTTCAGACGAGAACGATAGCAGATGAACTTCAACTTGACTAAAAGGTCATTTGCAGGAATGCATGCTTTGACAAACTAGGGGTTTGCTTCGGTAAAGTTTTTTCAAATCCGTCCGCTTAATGTTCAGGCCAAGTTCTGCCATTTTCTAGCACTGCCCACCAGCCCTTGTTTAAGGATCTGCGGTAACTTATAACTTCGTTTTTCTGCCTTCCAGCATGCCCTTCACCAAAAATTTTCAGTCCGAAGCACACTTAACTGCACGGAAAAGACGCAGCAAATTCAATGATACTGAATTAACAACTTTTTTTGGCTACCTCAAATATAATAATTCCAGTGACCTCACGGATCAACTGTGTTACCGTTGGGTGGCGGTGATTTCGAATTTCTTCGCTAAAAGCAAATTACAGTTTACGCTGTAGCTCACAAATACTGGTCTTTGAATCGCCAACGGGTTTCCTTACGGTCTGGCAACGTGGTTTTCAAGGCTTTCGTGAGGATTATAGCCAAAAGTAAACGTAGGGTGCTGGACATCGGCTCTGCAGGACCTACTCAAATATCCACGAAAATTTATTTTTCGTTGGCGTTTATCTAGCTTATTCATTAAAAGTAACACCTTATAATTAATTATATTCGCATTTAAAATCAGCATCAAAGCACACCTATTTATACGACAGTGCTAACGAAGGCAGTTCGTTACAAAATATGAAGAGTCATGAATATGACTACATTTGGTAGAAAAATATGGCTTATCATTATTAGTGTCTGAAGTCAAATACGTCTGTCTAGATTACGAGATTGCTTGAAAGAAAATGGATATGACAGCCTTTTAGTTATCCTAGGGATTGATAGTCGTTTTAATGCCGGGTGTTATGAGGCTGTAAAATATCTTTTTTGTCCTTCTGAACTTGAAAATGCTTGGTCACCTACATTGGAGTACACCGATGGTAAACATGTATTCAACCTTCATCAAAATACAGAGTTTGTTATGTTGATAAATATGGAAGCGATCTACTGCTTCTGCACTAATGAAAACATACAGCAGTACGTAAAAAATATCTTCATTCTACCAGATGTCATAGTTTTTCGGTCAGATTCGGACGTAAGCCTTTCCGTTTGCTCATTTTAATTTCACCTTAGGACCCAGACAAATGTGAAGACATGAAGGTACAAGCTTTCAAAATGATGGTTGATAAATGTCAAAAAATAGCAATTCCTTACAGTTCTGGTAAGACTACTCCCTTCAATGTCACTAGTTTTCTCAGGCATTAGTGGCGATGACTTCGAAAAGTCCAAACTGGAATGTTGGCCTCTTATCCAAAGCTTCGCATGCAACATAAATGATACGTACGTTTTTGAGTTGATAAAATGCGTTTGGTCGTAGCAATGAGAGTAGGCTGTCAAAGCTCTTAAATGTCACAGGTATGCCACCAACGAGAACCACGCGTACTGAAACTGCAGTAAACTTTGCTTCCTCAGATTAGAATATTGCTATCAGAGTTTTGCGGTTCTATGGTGTCTGCATTCTTCGACAGTTTTGTTTAGATTATGTTTTATTCAGTCGACGATTTATACCATCATTCATCTGTATACATACTCACACGTATGGATTTATAACCAGTCTTCAGGAAAATATTTAGAGATTTAAAATTCATGCTAAATCTTCAAGCTTTTTCCTGCATGACAATTAAAAGATTTTTGATTATTTTATTGTTTTATCGGAAAGGTATTACTTCATTACATCGAACCAGGTTTGGCAGTAAAGGTAGCATGGCAAGCACATAGTCACTTTAAATTTTTGGTTAATATAAATTTTGTCATGCAAAAATTTACTATGAAACCCATTCTATCACGTTTCTTAGAGAAAACAGATCCTTCTTCACATTGACATTTGAAGTAAGATATTGGCCGTTTTATTCTGATCGAAGGTTGGAGACTTTTCTGCCCATTTGAGTAAGCTGAAGAAAGTTCCAGATCCCCTAAACTTTGAGGATTTGCTGTTGCATGTAGGTCCATTGACATTAGCTTGACTTTTCTAGAACATATTTTCGCTCTGTTGGTCATTTGAGGCATGTCTACAAAAGTTGGATGCTTGCAGAAAGACGAGAACTGACGAAGCGACCATTTCAGAGGTAAGAATTAATCTTTTTTAAAAACGTATGCACATAGCCTCTAATGACACTTTTCAAACATATGAAACTACAAGGCAGCATGCCCACAGCGTAAGTTGGACATATTTTAACTATTAAATGCAGCAACTACTCACCGTTTGTGCGAATCGGCAAGCAATCGATCCAAGAACCTTTGATCGCTCCTCATTCAAAACGTGATGATCAGCCTGTTCATTTGGTAACTTAATACCACAAGCATTATTTTGCGCAGTCACTAAAGTGCTTTTCGTGTTGATGATATGTGCCATTTTCGTCCGTTTCTATGGGTAACATATTTTCTTTTTACGCAACGAAGGACTTATCTGAGTATATACACTAAATTTTAATCATTTTCCAATCATTTATTTACTGTGAACATAGGTTCTTAGTGGCTGTTCCCCGGTCGTTAATGCCCATTGCACACGGACGTACCTGCTTGAAAGGTCGAAGGTAGTTCCAGGTAAGAATCCTGAACAGTTTACGAGATATTACTTTTTAAAATAATTTTTCATTTTTAACTTCTCAGATCAAATTGTTTTATTTGAATTTTATGGGTCCAATAAAATGTTGAAAAGGGAAATCAAACTTAGTAATGGACTATTTTCCATCAATCATTTTTAAACATTTTCACGTCTCTCTTTTGCCGTTGCCATGAGGCTGTTATAAGTATTAGCATCTCCGCTTAGACGTCTGGGATTTGAGCCGTTAAAAGCCGAGAAATGTCTTATTCGCCAGATCTATACTGCTTTCTACAGTTCCATCAAATGGGGATCAATGTGCGGACAAAAATAAAAAAATACACACATTTATTCAAAAAATGGTAACAGTGCCATTTGCATTAACCTTAAACATGGACCAAAATACATTAGCCAAAATAATCAGTCTGGAGCCAGAAAAAATATACTTTATATAGGTATATAGATATGCTGATCGCTGGTATAGCCAAGAACGGATTCAATAAAAAGAGTCAGTTCTGCTGCATTTTGTCTGAAAATGTGACTACTTAAACAGTGTTAATGTCCATTTAGCAAGTTTGGTCTCTCACTTTGCTAGATATTTAGACCAATGTCCCCATCAGCAGGTCACACTTTTTTGTTTTTGATCAACCATCTTGTAGAAGCAACACAACGATTGAATTTTATTTTTCGGGGTTTGGTACTTTGCAGTACATAGGATATTGAGATGTTTAGTTAGGATGAAGCATAAAGAAAACCAACCAAACGTCGATAACTAATCTTAATATTTGCCTGATCACTTAATTAAATGACTGTCGGTACAGAGATAGTGCCTTGCCGTAGCATGCACCTCTTACGGTCAAAAAAGTAACAAAATAAATGGGTGGATGCAGGCTTTGGAAGTCCCCATTCTTTGAAAATATGTACACATTTACAGCTACCGTGTTTACACAGAGTTCTAAAACACGTCCGTGGATTAACGTTAACGATTTGCAGCGTGTGTTTTATTCCTGTAGCTTGTGACAAGCGAAACAGCTTTTAAAGCTGTTTAAGAATGATGATTGATTCTATGTGTATTTAATTAGTCAAAAGAAAGAGATTACGACTTAATGGCTGCTCTTTCGTCCATTTTTATCCCACTTTACTAACATTTTCTCAAATCCTGATCTTAGCTTGATCGGTTTCAGAATGTACTGTCAAAAATTGCTTCTACATAGTTTTCTTTATTCCCCCACTTTTTTGTGTAAAATTTAGTGGCTTTTTGTTCCCTAGCCAGATGGTTGGGAGAATAACCTACTTTAGTCTCTTCCGTATAGATAACATGGATATGTACGTGACAATGAAAAGTTGAGAATAATTTTATGCTACTGAAAATTTTAGGAGTAACTACTAACGCCGCGTCTAGATACAGGTACGTTAATGTTGTCTACAGTCGTTTTGCAAAATTGTTTTACGTTTTGTCACATAGTCCCTGTTTATTCTAGTATGCTATGGTCATGAGGGTGCACGAATATGTTTCAACCAAAAGTTTATTCTATCTAAGAATAGTTTATTAATCTTTGCCTAATGAAAACATGAATAGTATGCATTTCAGTGAAATACAACAGCGTTATCATTGCCTTTTGTATTCTGCAGAGCCGTGATTGATACATACAAAGCTATTTGCCTGGGCCTGTCAAACCTGGTTGAGAATTTGGAGCAGTACTCATTTCAATACGTAAAGGTACGTTGTTTTCTTTTTCTTTCATAATTATAAACTCTGAACGGTAGCCTGCCTCTCTCAAAATTTTACAATGCTGCGATTTCTATACTTTGCTTATAATTTGCATACGTTACCGGAATACAAAGATTGAAGGAATTAAACGGTATTCTTTAAAAATGATAATTTTATCACCTCTCCCTCAACCGAATTGTGTGGACGTTCTAGCTTCCATTGAAACATCCGTTCTCCTTCTGTTCTTGTAGACGGCAATAGAAAAAGCAAAGAAGATGATTGCGAGGAACTTAAGCTCTGTCACTTACCAAAAAATCAACCTGGAGTAGGTCCTACACACTTCCTTATTTCTTATCTTGCACACTATTCCCTTCGACCTTTGGCCTGTCATTAAGTAGAATAAATGCAAAACATTACTTATCATCCCCAACTGTATCTTACTGGGTATGCTTTTTGGTATGGTTTCAGCATAGATATATATTTTTCAGAAGATAATTAGTGCTTTCTGGAATTTTATTGCAAAACTGATCTGTTTATCATACGGGCACATGCGACCCATTTATTGGGATTTCATTACTTGCCATCTTGGAGTTATTCTTCTAACAGAGATAAGATGAACAGATGGCACCCCTTTATCATACCAACGCAACAGACCGGTCGTGTACCGAAGGGCTTCAAACGAAGGACAAAGTTTACCGATTTTGCGTCTTTTTGCAAAAAATTGCTAGTGAAGGGTTCAAAGGAAAGGCTTTATTGCTCTCGTGTTAGCCGGAAGTCTCCATTGTGTACCAACTGGCTAAGAAAAGGACAGTGACACCAGTTTCACATTGTTTTGTTACTTGGATATTCAAATCACTCGACCGAGCACTATAAGTGGAGGGACAACAAAATTTGTATATTAACCTCTTTTGTGAAATCACTTGCAAAGAATCGGATAGCCCGAAAATAGGTTGACGCTATTTACATACTACCATATTATCAAAAAAAATTTTAATTTTCAGAGCGATTTCGGAAGATCCTCAATTATCTCTCTCGTCCAGATTAGTCGTTTTACGAGCAGAGATTGTGAATCTGACAGATGCTGAAAAGGAAATCTTTGGCTCTGTGTCATATGCAGATACTTATCTGCTAACTGCAGTGACTTTAAACAGAGGTAAGTGAATGGGACCTAAAAAACCACCTGGTTAGTATTCGACGCTCTAAAGCTCACACATTGTGTTTGGACTGCTTATTAGAGAAGGGCTTTCAAATTAAATTGTGTTTAGGCTTTGGCCTTGCTTCTCCTAAGTAAATTATAACAGCCCTTTCTAGCTTTATCAGTGTGTCCGTAAAGGCCACAAGAATACTTTAAGTAATCCTCACTTCCTCACTTGCTCCAACGATTTTTTTTTCGGTTTTTTCAGAAATCATCAGCACCAAGTTAACTAACTTAACAAAGGAGGTTCTACCGTTTGGATATTGGGGCACAGAGGTACTATTTATACGAGGTTCTGAATTTCTTTCGTATTCTTGTGACCTTTAAGGAATTGTAGTTCATTTTGTATTTTGAAAGAAAATCGTTATTACCTAAGAAAAGACGAAATTCGTCTCCCATAAAGATACCCTACTGTCTCTACTCATAATCAGTCAGTAATATCTTTTTAAGACCTAGGTTGGTTATTTGAGAACCTTATGAACTGTGCAATTACGGAGTAACGTAACCACAGGTTGAACATTTGGCAACAGTAGCTTATGTAGTCCCACTAATTCATCCCTACTCCCAGCATGTTGTCCTACGAAAACGGTGGTTATAGGGATTTATGGATGGGGAATTAGGACACGCAGTGGAATATACTTTGTTAACTGCTATATACATTTTAGTTTATTGCATTTAAAAGTGTTGTTAATTTATATGTGTAGATTTTCTTAATCTGTATTATCGTTTAACGTATTGCGGAAAAACCCAATTATCAAATTGCAGGTTTCTTGAAATTCCCGAAAAATAGAAATGGTGGTTAGGAGGTCGCCTATTTCAACTAACCTGAGTTCCAACTTACCGCTCTGAAGTTAGATTAGTATAGTCTCCGGCACGAAGCACCGCGCACATCTTCTATTTACATGCGGAACAACTTACTCCCAGCGGCCGTGGGAAAAAACGTCGACTACATTTTTTTCCCCTTTACACTTCTAATAATTTCCTTCTCTGCCTATCCTATTTCCCCGCCCCACAAAACTCTATGACCACCGTTTTCTTAGGACAACATGCTGGGACTAGGCGTATATGAGGGGGACTACATAAGCTACTTTTTCCGAACATTTAAGAGGTAAGTTCAGGAAAATGATGGCTGTGCTGAAGAGAGAAGACTTTATAGGGCAAGTGCGGACCCCAAATGCAAGGCAACGACAAAACAAATATATGGAGCGCCATGCGCAGCGTTGTAGACCCTAGGTTCACTGAAGACGCCTACTGAATCGGTAAGAGTCAGAAGCTTATAGAGCCAGGGTTCACCGGCTGCTGCTTGTTAATTTGGATAACACGAACAGGTTGTTTCTTAGTTTAGCCAGAGACTTGGGTAGCAATTGTTTGGTTTTATACCAGTCCAATAAAGCCGTCTTGACCAGTAGAAAGTGTGAATGTGAGTGACTCAGTGTCCTTGGCACCCTAATACGTTGCGTTTTCTACCCGAATACTCCAAAGCATTGCCTCCCAGATGAGTGATTCTGGCTCAACAATTGACATAACAGTCAAATTGCTGCTGGAATTAAACTAAATTAGATGGTATTGTTCACAACAGTCGGTGCAAAAGAAACCTGTGTCAGTGCAAGTGTAATAAACTTGGAATTAGCGGCGAATAGTCATTTGAAAGTCAAGAGGCCATAAAAAGGTATCCCTCAGGAAGTGTTAATTTATACTCGATGACATCAAACACTACCCTTCTAGACCTGCCTGGCATATTCACGCTCGCAGGTATTGGTAACTTCAGTTTGAGCAAAGTTATTGGTTCCATACTGTCCATCCCTATCTGCCTAAGCCAGGATGCGTAAGCTACTGATCATAGTAACAGTAGCATCATATCATCGAAAGAGTATAATTCACGGAGACTTCAGCCGTGAGTAAGGGTGAAACCTCTTTTGATATTAGGCCACTCTTCATTTTGCAAGCTGTCATTTTTTCCAAAGGCATTTGTTCGATTACCGCCTTATTCTTTCTTAATTTGATTTTCCACCAACTGGCAAGGGGTATGTCTAAGTGCGGCAGGTACCCACCAGGTGGAAATCATCACGAAATTATATCGCTCAACAACGAAACCCACTTCCACAGAACCTCACAGTGTAGCCAGTTCGTGAACTTGCTGAATGGATACTCAACTACGCAGACTGCATTTATATACCAACCAGCAACTTGACATGGCTGCTAATCGGGCTTTCGTTAATATGAACCTAAGCACTGAGAATGCGTATGTACTCATAAAAATGTTCCACCGTCAAAGATACCTGCGCTTATATGACACAGTTAATTATCTGAATGCTAACTGCCGAGTAATGCACCTGTCTCAAACTTGGAACATCAGCGTACTTTCAGAAGTACAAGATACATGTATAGAGATCGACTCCGAGACAGGACTAAGTTCCACACTAATCCGAAACTGCGTGGTATTTGAAATGCAGATTCACCACTTTATATAGATTTCCTATCTCATGAAATGACGATCGAAACTCTGAAGTATGTTCGTGATTCGAAGAAGTTACTTAAGCAGGCTCGTGATATTGATTAGCGTGCAGCAGAATCCAAAGGTATTTCAGTCAAATCTGGATTCCGGCTTTGGAAAGAACGCCCTTCTGACCGTTTGCAAAAAAGCTTACTCTGTAGAAAATGGCTACCTAGGTGGTATGCCTTTTCCTCGTCAATTTTTGATCCCTCTAGACATCCAAATATATTCTAAAAAGATGCCCAGAATATTGTTTTTGTAGTCATTTGGGTGGCATATTACGACTTCTTTAAATTAAATCTTTCTGAACCTCAGAAATGTTTTTACAATTCGCTAGAGGGAAAATTAATTGGATCATGATATCATTGGACGTACTATTTTCTGTGCAATTTTCGCAGGCGCCACGTCACGTGGGTTTCCAGTCTACAGCCACACCCTTTAAGGTTTGGCGGGAGGTCTTATTTGTGTAGACGACCTGTCAGAGTTAGCTTCGCATAACTGCCTCATGATTGCAGCGGATGATAACCTTTCAGGTCAGCTTAAGGGCTGTACTTCGATTTAGTATGAGTTAGAGTTTTTACATGGTTCGACCCAGTGGGGTCTATCAGTAAATGCCCAAAATCCAATGTCCTTACAGGCAACTGAGAAGTTGACTTGGATGTGCCTTTACCTACGACGTCAGCCGAAGAAACCGCTTGCAATTTCTAGGACGTTCTTGTTATTTTTAGGCTTGTGTGGCCCAACTTGGCGTAAACTCTTCTCACTGTTTCCATGTTTATTTCTTACTGTTAGAAGAAATAATGTGGCCACTGCCGCCATATATAAGACTCTAAATTGACGATTCTACTAAACGAATTCTTACAATATAGGTAGTAGAACCTCTTCATTGGAGTCGACTCCTCTCAAGAAAGGGCTCCGCTTCGGATCGTGAACTTCCAGTCGCTGCACTTTTCTACGGAGTAGGTCAGAATACTCTTATACAAGGTCAGTTGAAGACTTTGTGCTATAACTGACAGCAAAAGGAGAGAATCTATTCTGCTAATTAAGCTAAATGTTCCTCTTCTTTTTATTATAATTGGGGATATTCCCTTCCAACTAGTTTCGTTAAGAAAATGTGTTGCTTGCACCTGTAACGTATTGCTGTTGAGAGCAAGCAATTGCTTGGCCAGGAAGTTGTCTCTTTTCCTAACAGATTTTCAGGAAGATCGTTAGTGTACTTACTCGAAGGACGCTAAAAAATACATCCGTATCCGTTAACTGAACATGCATGCCAACAACTAGACCCTTCACATCGGCTATGTTCTTGTACGGTTGCTGGCAACAGAGGATTTGCGCAGATGACAAACAAGCGGGCACCAGGATCT